CTAGAAAATTCCAACCACTTTTTATCCCACCTCTTCCAAATCATTTTACTTTCTGGGTGAATAGTCTAAACTTTAGTAAATGAATAGGAAATACATATCCCTATGCCCAGCTCTTGTTATCCGAATGCCAATCAGTATTGGCCCTGTTCCCAGTGAGCTGATTATGGCACTGTAATCCTTAAAACAGCTTCTAGGTTGTTGCCGTAACAGGAAATAAGATCTAACCTGTGATGTGAGATCTGTTTGCCTTTTCTGGTCTAGTCAGGCAGGTTCGCTTTGGAGGTAGGGTGGAGGAAGATTCTCAGCTGGCTTGCCACCTTGTTGACTATAGTTTTGGGAAATAAATGAAGCTCTCAGAATCCAATTGGTAAAATAAGCTTGCTATTGCTAGTTGCTTGGATCCCCCAGCCTGTGTCAGAAAGAGAGGGGTTTTGCATGTCTCTCTGCATGGTTAGGATGTAGATTCTCCTTCCTGGAAGGACTCAGTGAAGAATGACTGCATGAGGGTGAAGGCCTAGATGGAATTCTCTGTGTTGGCCAAACAGCAAACGGTCCCAGGCCTCATCAGGGGTGCCTTGGAAACAGGACTGAGCTGCTGGATCTGAGAGGCCAGGCAGCCTTGGATGCTTCAGAGAGTGTCTGGACAGAATATCAAAGACAAGAGCCCTCATGCTTTGGTACTTCCCAGCCTGGTAGGATGTGCTCTCCACATGAAAAGGAAAACTCGTTTCTAGAAAATGAAAAGGTGCAATATTTCTTGCTCACTTGAGGCTGGACTGAGATGTAATACCTACTTTATAGAGAACTCTAGTAGCTTGTTTTGCCTAGGGAGTTGTATGTTTACCCTCTGTGAGTTCAAATCCACCAGTGGCTCCATGACAGAAAGATGAACAGTCTCTTCCTGTGTGACTTACAGCCTCCAAAGTCCTCTGGGAGGTCAGCTGAAAGTTGTTTCTGACTTTAAAGCAATGAGGTTGTTTGATATCTGCAAAAATAATTAGTCCTGGTGGCATAGTGGGTTTGGGGTTAGCCTGAATCAGATGTTTGAATCCACTAGTTACTCCTTGGGATAAGGTGGCCAGTCATCTCCTATAAAGATTTATAGCCTTGCAAATGTGATGGAGGGCCGCTGTGGGTCAGGTTCTACTTGATGCCAGTGGGATATCAGGCATCAAAACAGTGCGAGGCCTCCAAGGAATCTTTTAGTCACAGATGTTTGTCATGTTGTTGCTTATTGTGGAGTTGGAACCGACTCATATCTGATCCTCCAGCAGGATTTCAGAGGCTGTAAATTGCACGCACGGGAGGAGATTGCCCGTCTTTCTCCAAAGGAACAGCTGGTGGATTTGAACTGTGTGCCTTTGGACCGACAGCACAGTTCCTTATCACTAGGCCACCAGAGCTCCCTTATTAGGAAATGAATTGAATCCTTATTGGGCAAGTTATTTAATCATTCTAAAAATAATAATATTGAGGGGTTGGAATATCTTCTTTTTTAATAATTTTTAAAATTAATTTTGATGAAAATTTGCAAAGACTTTGGATTTCCATTCATTCATTGTTACACTTTTCTCCCTGCCCACCCCTTTCTGCCAGTACACTCTTCTCTTTGAAAAGTAAAAGTTCCCCCATTGTTTTACATCCCCCCCCTCCCCCGTTCACTCCACTATGCATCCTTCATTCTGGACGCCTGTCATGACAATAATACCTAATCACATACCCCTTTTAAACAGTTTTCTCCCTCATCTGTTTCAATGCAGTATACATTATTTATCCCATCTTTTTCAGTCTCTTCCCAACCCCGATGTCAGTCCTTTTACAACAGTGGCACTATGCAGTATTTGTTTGTTTGTGACTGAGATATTTCACTCAGCATAATGTCCTCCAGTGTCACCCATTTTGAATAATATTGTATGAATTCCATGTTTTTCAATGCAACATTGTGTGAATATACCAGAGTTTCTCTATCCATTCATTTGTTGATGGGCACTTGTTTCCAACTCCCTTCTATTGTGAACAAAGCTGCGATAAACATGGGTGTGCATATATCTGCTTGGGTGGCAGTTATGATCTCTTTGCGGTATATTCCCAGTAGTGGAATTTCTGGGTCAAAAGGTATCTCTATTTGCAACTTTTTGAGAAAGCACCACGCTGCCTTCCACAGTGGTTGCACCAACAGTGAATAAGGGTTCCGGTTTTTCCACAACTTCTCCAGCATTTATTGCTTGCTGTTCTGTTAAATTTTGCTATTCTTAACTGGGGTGAGATGATATCTCATAGTTGTCTTGATTTGCATCTCTCTTAGAGCTAGGGATTTTAAACAATTCTTCATGTGCTTGTTGGCCATCTGAAGGTCTTCTTTGGTGAAGTGTCTGTTCATATCCTGTGCCCATTTTTCATTTGGATTGTTTACCTTTATCTTGTTGTAGTGCTCAAGTATTTTATAAATTCTAGATATAAATCCCTTATCTGACATGTCACTACCAAATACTTTTTCCTAGTCTGTGGCTTCCCTTTTTACCCTGTTAGAGGAGTTTCTGGATGCGCATAGGGATTTGATTCTTAGAAGGTCCCATTCATCTATTTTATCTTCTCCTGGTTGTAGATGGGAATCTCTGTTCTTACTGTTATGTGCGTCTAGTTTCGACTTCCACTCATAGAGGCACTGTGAACAACAGATCTGAGCTTTGTGTTGTGTGTACTTCATTAGTTTTGGTTCTCTAGAGCACCCAGGCCGAGACAACATCAAATAGGCCGAGTTGGAGCCCAGTAATCAAGTTCAGCTTCTGAGGAATGTTGGTGGGAGATCTCGGCAGACCTCTGGCTCTAACTCGTTTCCACAACCTGGAGCAAATTGCCGATCCTCTCTGGGGTTCTGATTCTCATTCCACAAATGAAACCCATTGTTGGAGACTCAATTCCAGCAGAGTAGAACTGCCCCATGGGCCTTGCCAGGCGGCATTCTTTGCAGAAGAAGACGGCCACATCTTTCTCCCAGGGAGCGGCTTATGTGTTAGAACCAGCAACCTTTTTGTTACAACCCAGTTATTAACCACTTTGCACTAGGAATCTTACTCTGCAGACTGAGTAAGAGGAAACAGAACACTCAGAGGTCTCTTCTGGGACTTCTTCTCAGCACTGTATCACTATGGTGCCTCTCAGACTGATGCTGCCTTGTTGCCCGCTAACCACCAGCTGCTCTGCTTGGAGTTTTGGGGTCACCAAGGGGGAAGTGCCTTCAGCTCTTTGATAGGAAGCCAGTCCCAGCTTGTGGACAATTCCCATCCAGTGATGGAGGCTGTGGATACCTCTGTTCCAGCGCTGTTCTCATGTGTCAGCGCTCTGCCCTTGGGCTAACAGATCTTAGAAGGGGCTCATCTTAGAGGCAGAACCTGGTGAGGGCTGGGTGGAGTGAGTGGGCTTCTAGAACAGCACTCAACTTGGAGTAGTTTCAGAGTCTCTGCCCTCGCTGGTGCAGGGCATTAGTCTTCTAATCCTTAGTCACTCATCAAAGTGTCTCTCCTACAATAAAGGTGGGCCCCAATCCAAGGCTCATTTGTCTTTTATCTCCCTGGATATTCTGGCAAAGACCAGGCTACAGCCTCTTGCATACTTTTAAATTGAGGTAGCATTCAGCAACAAACTTTTTATCCATGATGGCATTGACATTATATCTCTGTGAGAGTCATTTACTCTCCACAGTAATTTTGACTGGGTTTGTTCTACTCGGAGAGTTATTTTAATCATCCTTTCAGTTGTTATTGATGAAGTCTCTTTGAAAACAGATTAGAAGATTAGTTTAAAACTATCCCCAGTGACTTTAAAACAATAACAGGGATGTGAATACAGACGACAACAAATCAAGGGCTGTCATGGATGTATTAAAACTATGGATGAAATGTTGGACTATGGACGACCCACTGGTAGCATAAATGATAAGGTGTGGGCACACTCTTCTTTGAGTCAGTTCTGTCACTGTCCCCATCTATCCTTGGGGCTCATCTGTGTGTGTGTGCCTCTGTTTATCCTTTCTCCTGAAATGCTTGACCACATCTGGAGCTCTTTAGTTCCTAAAATGTTGATTCTATCTTAATTCCCCCCTGGAATCTTTCTTTAACACCAGTATCTCTACCTCACTGCTGTAAAAGTTTTGGCTCCTCTTACAGACCGAACAGTATCCCCTTAAAATAGGTGTTGCGGATCTGCGTGCCAGCATGCTGACGTATCTGCGTGCTGGCAGCCCTCGTGCTGGTGTGCCCACGTGCCCATGTGTCTGCGGGCTGGTGTGTTGCCGTATCTGTGTGCTGGCGAACCCTCATGCTGGCGTATGTGCGAGCTGACGTGCTGATGTATCTGCATGCCCTAAGTGTCCGCGTGTTCTTGTGCCAGCATGCTGATGTATCTGCGTGCTGGCGAGCCCTTCTCCTGGTGTGCCCGTGTGCCCGCGGGCGGCTGTATCTGCGGGCCGGTGTGCTGACATATCTACGTGCCCTTGCACCCGAGTGCTGGTATGCTATCGTATCTGCGTGCTGGCAAGCCCTTGTGCTGGTGTGTTCTCGTGCTCTCATGCCAGTGTATCTGCGAGCTGGCATGCTAGCATATCTGAGTGCCCTGTGCCGATGTATCTGCATGCCCATGTATCTGCGTGCCCGCGTGCTGGCATATGTACGTGCTGGCGTGCCTACATATCTGCGTGCCCACGTGCCCTGGTGCCGACGTATCTGCGGGCTGGTGTGCCCACCTGCCTCAGTGCTGACGTGTGTGCCTGAGTGCCCACGTGCTCTGGTGCGGACGTATCTGCGTGCTGGCGTGCCTACGTGCTGATGTATCTGCATAGTGCCCGCGTGCCCCGGTGCTGACCTGTCTGAGTGCCTGCGTGCCCACGTGCCCCGGTGCTGACGTATCTGCGTGCCTGCGTGCCCACGTGCCCCGGTGCTGACGTATCTGCGTGCCTGCGTGCTCATGTGCCCCGGTGCTGACGTATCTGCGTGCCCGCGTGCCTACATGCCGATGTATGTGCGTGCCCGCGTGCCCCGGTGCTGACGTATCTGTGGGCTGGCGTGCCCCGGTGCTGAGTATCTGCGTGCCCACATGCCCCGGTGCTGACGTATCTGCGTGCCGGCGTGCCCACGTATCTGCGTGCCCACGTGCCCCGGTGCTGACGTATCTGCGTGCCCACGTGCCCCGGTGCTGACGTATCTGCGTGCCCACGTGCCCCGGTGCTGACGTATCTGCGTGCCCGCGTGCCTACATGCCGATGTATGTGCGTGCCCACGTGCCCCGGTGCTGACGTATCTGCGTGCCCGCGTGCCTACATGCCGATGTATGTGCGTGCCCGCGTGCCCCGGTGCTGACGTATCTGCGTGCCGGCGTGCCCACGTATCTGCCTGCAGGCATATCTGCGTGCCCGCGTGCACTGGACCCCGCCTGCTGCTAGTGCTGCTTGGGGCCTTTTCTACACCGGGCTGCGATGTCAGAGGGCAGGGTCAGCCGTGACCCTGAGAAGATGTGGAGAAGGAGGCGAGCCACCCGCTGACCGTCACATCCTGTTCGGAGGCCAGCTGGCTTTAGGAAGCCAAGGGCGGCGCTCAGCGAGCACCTGCTGTGTTCCTGGCCCCATAAAGGTGCTCAGAGGTGGGGACAGCAGCGACGTGGCGCGCAGGTGTGCGGAACTTGCGGGATTCGTTACATCCCTGCATGAATAGACATGTGTGAGATGTACCTGTGCTGTCCGTGTTGCCGATGCAGGCTTGGCAATCCCAGCTCAATGGGGACCGTTCACCGCTGGCCACCTTGAGAGTCGCGGTCATCACCCGCCCGTGCAGAGGCAGCAGGGCCGCAAACGTCTGGTGCTGGAAAGAGAGGTGTTGAATTCTCGTGACCCCTGTGAGCCTCAGTTTACTCGCCTGGAAATTGGAGGTGAGACTGCACGTTCTGAGTGAGCACCATCAGGAGGGGCCTTGGAAGGGAGATGGCAAAGCCTTGTTCACATGGTAGAACACTTCAGGGGCAAACCCTGCGGAGGAAATGAGGTGCATAGGGGAAGGTTTTACCGGGAATAACCAGTCACTTTAACGTTATGGTTGTGTACTGTCAGAACCGACCCGTAGCTGACTGTGCAGTAGGTTTCAGAGGGAATAAATGTCCTGGGAGGAGATGGCATCTTTGTCCTACGGAACACTGAGTGGATTTGAGCCACCAAAAAAAAGGTGTTGCAAATAAGTACAGTCCTTTTGAAAAAAAATTTAATAATTTTAATGAACATTTACAGAGATTTTTAATTACCTTTCATTTTACAGAGATTTTGAATTTCCCTTCATTCATTGTTGCATTTTTCTCCCTGCCCACCCCTCCCCTCAGTTCACTCTTCTCTTTGAAAATGAAAAGAAAAATTCCTTCATTGGTATACAATCTCAATCTCTCTCTCTCCACGATGCAACCTTCATTCTGGACTCTTGTCATAACCATAATACCCAATCATATATTGCTTTTAAAATGTTCTCTTTCTCATATGTTTCAATGCAGTACACATAATTTATCTACTTTTTCTCAGTCTCATCCCAACCCTGATGTCAGTCCCATTCTACAACAGTGGCACCATGCAGTATTTTTCCTTTTGTGACTGAGATATTTCACTCAGCATAATGTCCTCCAGGGTCACCCATTTTGAATAATACTGAATGACTTTCTTGTTTTTCAATGCAGAGTAATATTCCATTGTGTGAATATACCAGAGCTTCTCTATCCATTCATTTGTTGATGGGCACTTACGTTGTTGCCAACTCTTTGCTATTGCGAACAAAGCTGCAATAAACATAGGTGTGCATATATCTACTTGGGTGGCAGTTATGGTTTCTTTAGGGTAAATTCCCAGGAGTGGAATTGCTGGGTCAAATGGTATTTCTGTTTGCAACTTTTAGAGAAAGTGCCATATTGCCTTCCATAATGGTTGCTCTTGTTTTACACTCCCACCAACAGTGAATAAGGGTTCCATTTCCTCCACAACCTCGCCAGCATTTGTTGTTTGCTGCTCTGTTAAATTTTGCTATTCTGACTGGGGTGAGATGATATCTCATAGTTGTTTTCATTTGCATCTCTCTTAAGAGCTAGGGATTATGAGCATTTCTTCATGTGCTTGTTGGCCATCCGAATGTCGTCTTTGGTGAAGTGTCTGTTCGTGTTCTGTGTCCATTTTCAATTGGGTTATTTACCTTTGTCTTGTTGTGGTGCTCGAATATTTTATAAATTCTAGATCTAAGTCTCTGTCATGTCCAAATATTTTTTTCCCAATCTGTGGCTTTCCTTTTTGCTCTGTTGGAGAAGTTTTTAGATGTGCATAGGGATTTGATTCTTAGAAGGTCCCATTCATCTATTTATCCTCTCCTGGTTGTAGATTTTTGAGGATGCTTTTTTTTTAAAAAAAAAAAAGAAAGAAAAGCAAGGCTTCATCTTATATATGTACTGTAGGAATGTATGATCAGGAGGTGTCCACCCATGGAGAAGGACATTCTATTTAGTAAAGAGCCTATGGCCTTCAATGAGGTGTATGGACTTAAAGATGGCAACAGAGGGCTTAAACACTACGAAGATGGTGAGGCACGAGTGATTCCTGTTGTCAGTGACTTTATTTTGTTTGGATCCACAACCCACACCCATGACGATAGCAGTCAAATCAAAAGATGTTGACAACTTTAGTCTTTCGTACCTCGGGCCACTATAAGAAGGAGCTGACTTGATGGTACCTCACAGCAGCAGCGGGCTTAAGCATGATCTTGTACTTTTGTCACAGTGCCTGGTGAAGATGACAGTCAAAAGAACAAATTTGCCTTGAAGGAAGAACCTTCGATGCCTTGAATGTCCTGTCTTCAGACCATCCAAAAACATCTTGGCACAACTCTCACCTTCGTCCACGTACCTGACCTGACCTATGGAGCTTGAGGTACGAGTCTTTAGTCACTGGACACACTCTTTGCCATTGTGTGAGCCACTTTCTTGAAATAAATATCCTTCTTTCCCCATATCTATCTGTTTCTGTCTGTGTATCCATCTCTCAATCTATGTCTGTCCCTTTGTATCTATTTCTCTCTTCATTTCTCCCACCTCTTAGTTCCTCTGTATGTCTACCTATCACTAATTCTGTATCTCTAGAGAATGATCACTATTTTTTTCTCTTTTTATTTCACATGATCCCTGAGGCTGACTCCTTGGGATAGCATGTTGTCAGAGCAAATCAAGGCAACTAATTCCTCATCTATGTGTATACCATTGGCTCTTTTTTCTCTCTCTTAAGAAGTTAACCAACACTACACTCAAGCTTTGTAAAAGCTGATTTTCTATCAGTCTTGGTTTTCCAATACCTGTAGAACATGAACATCGTACACGTGGACTTGAATTCATGGAGGAGGTTCTGTTATTCTTCTGTGTTATAGACAGTTTATTCCTGGCTCCCATCACGTTGGGGTGATCCGTGATGGGGGTAGGTGAATAGGATCGAGTGTGGACAGACATGGGATGGGACAAAGAGAGGGCATGAGGGGAGCAGAAGTCAACCCTGCAGCCCGGAGGATGGAGAAGAACACTGTTTATCAATGTCCAAAGGGTCCCTTTTATGGGACAGGAATGCCATCAGAACTGCTGGTTGCTAATGATTCCAGTTTACTTCTGGATTAGTATCAGTCCAGAGGAAGACATTAAACACATTTAGAAATTCCATCCATGCCTGGGATGAAAATGTGATCCCCCCCCCGCCCACTTTCTAGAAAATTTGAACTTCGTTTCATTTTGCTTATTTCCACGAGGTTCTGTGGTCTTCATTATGAAATGGATGTAATACCTAGTTTCTCAGCAGGTTGTGTAGATTGCAAGAGATGCTGTGTGCCAAAGTTTGGAAAACTAACTGCTTCTTTATTGACTCTCAGAAAATTGCTCTTCCTTTTCTAGTTAGAATAGAGTCAGTCCTTTATATACAATGGGATCCACACCTGCAGATTCAACAAATTTCAGACTGATATGTGAGAGAGTGGGGGAAAAGGCAATTAAGTGGTTAAAACAAAAGTCGGAGAAGACATGTAAAGTGCTATTTATTTGGCATCTCTGCTGTATTAGGTATTAGAGGTAATCTGGAGGTGGTGTGAAGTATCGAGGAGGATGTGCATAAGTTATATGCAATCATGGCACTATTTTGTACAAGAAGCTTAAGCATCAGGAGATGTTGGTACTTGCAGCGGGTCCTGAGCTAACCCCCCCCCCCATGGGTATAGAGGGACGATTATACAGTGTGTGGTGGTTTTGTCCCTTTTAGTTAAGACCAGTGGGCTATTTCTTGTATCCTTCCTTTCCCAAGATCCCTTTTTATTAACCAGAGAGAGAAAAGACACTTCCTGGAGAGAGTGCAGAGGTAATTGTAGCAAAAAGCTCAAACCCTGCCTGTTTAATGTCATCTTTCCATTTAGGCTTTTATAACTTAGTAATTATTAGCATCCTCCTGACGGCTTCAGGACTAGACCCTCCTTCAGCCTTTAACTTTGAATGACTCCATCCTAAGATGAGATATTTTCGAAAGTCAGCTTTGCTATTTCACTTCTTCGTGACCTGAGTGGACATGCTCTAGGAAGGCATCTTTCCTGAGGGAGTCAAAATCCTTTTTCTTGTTTCTTACTGCACAAACGAAGCCACTTGAATTTTCAATATTACATCTTCTTGTTCCTTGCCATCAAGCTTGTCCCTAGGTGATAGTGACCCCGTGCACAATGGAAACATTGCCAGATCAGGTACCATAGGAGTGTTCAGCTGAGTGTCAGATCATAAACTTCACGAGCTAATTTTCATGAACAGATCACCAGGTATTTTTTATTTCTAGTCTGTTTTAGTCTGGAAGCTCTGCTAAAACTTGGTCGGCGTCCTCATAGTGATACTAACCTGTGAGAACTGCCCATGAAATTCAGGGCTTGAGAGCTGAACCCACTTGTGCATGAAAGGAGAGAATTCTACAGCCTGACTGCAAAGATCAGATAGAACACCAGAACATAAGGATAAAGACAGTTGGCCCATATACTTCAGATTTGCCACTTCTCCTTGCAGTTGCAACTCAAGGATGTTTGAGCCCTCTCCTATGATATGTACCTTTATGGAAATATGTGCTTTGCTGTGCATGGGGTAGTGGTAGGTGGGAGAGGGTGAAGAGGTGGAGATGAAGACTAGTGAGGAAAAGGGTGACACTATTTCACAGGCTTTGAGCGGCACAGTTCCATCTCTTTGTGTTTCTTCCCTCGGAGGTGATGACTGAGGCGTGCCTCTGAGACAGGTCTTGGAAGAAATAACAGCCTGAATGATCCTTGGAAGCAAGGGTGATGAGACTTCATCTAATTGACTATGGACATGCTACCAGGAACAATCTCTGGGAAAAGATACCATGTTTGGAAAAACAGTGTGTCACCAACGACGAGGAAGATCTTCAGTTACATGTATTGACACAGTGGGTGCACTCATGGGCTCCAGCATGCTTGTTTTTGTAAGGATGACCCAGGCCCGCACAGTGTTTTGTTATGTTTGACATGGGATCATTTTCAGTCAAAACTGACTTGATGTCACGTAACAGTAGCAGCAACAGCAAGAAATACCACAAATACTTTACCACTTGCTTTTCACTTCTCCTGAGGGTTTCGGCTTCCAGTCTGAGAGCTAGCTGTTTCAATCCTCAACTCATTTAAGCCCAGAATAACTTTGCCTGTGGGTGTTATCCTACAGGGAAGGTCCTTCTCTGGTATACAGTCTGAAAGATAAGGGCCATGGCATCCCACAAAATGACAATAGCCACATCAGCAGCAACTGATACTTTTCCATGACCATTCAAGCAGCTGGCAAAGGGTAAGAGAGAAACCGAAGGTGAGAAGAAACAGAGAAAACTAGTAAGTGAGGCAGGCAGAGTGAGGCCAGAGGGTTAAAGCCCCATTGCCTTCTGAACCTTAAATTGCAAGGGAACCTGCGACCCCTAACAACAGGCAGATGTCTCAGGAGTGTGGATGGAGACCTTTGTGGCCTAAGATTCCTGCAGACGTGCAGAGGGTAAAAATCATCACCTCCATTGAACACAGGTATATGAGAGTCAAACGTGCTGAGATCCCAGTTGACGGTGGCCTGATGGGGGTCCTGCAAAGGATCATTAAGTCCTTCAGTTGTGGGCACAGGCCTTGGCAGAGCTGACTGTGAACTTGAAGGGACAGAGATGCATAGAAGGAGCTGGGAAGGGTATGCTGAACACCAACTAGAGCTGTTGTTTCTCTTGGCCCTTCTCTCATTCTTGGTTCACTGAGTCGCTCTGTCTCTTGCCCTGGTTCTCACCTTTCCCACATCTTCCTTAGGCTTGGATTCTTAAGAATTCTTGAGGATTTCCAATTCCTGGCTCCCATCACTAGGAATTCTGATTAAATGGATCTGGGCTGGGGCCTAGTAACTTCAGATTTTGACTCTGGCATCACCTGATACTGAAATAGGGGAAATTCATGAATTCTACTTGATCAGTATTGCCTTGCCTTACTACATATGATCTAGAATTGAATTTGACATACACTTATCTACAGATTGGAATAGACAGTATCTGAACCCATTCACCACCTTTATCTGTCCAGTTGACTCTGGCTTGTTAGCCGTCTGAAGAGTAGGATTTCCCCAGTGGGTGTCCAAATGCTGTAAACTCTGTGGGAGCAACTGCCTCATTTTACATCCATAAAGCAAATGGTGGGTTCCATTCGTAGACTTTTCTCTTAGCAGCCCAGTGAGCCAGGGAAACTCCTGCACCTGAAAATAGTGTCGTTATCATTGTTGTTGTGCATTATCAAGTCAGAATCGACCATAGCTGACCGTCCAGTGGGTTTTCAGAGGCACTTAATTGAACGGGAAGAGATTGTCTATCCTTCTCACAGGGAGCTGTCGGTGGATTTGAACCACATGCCTTTGAGATTACAGTGCAGTTCCTTACCATTCAGCTACCAGAGCTCCCTCCTAAAAGTGGCTTGGAAGAACAATGTGTTCTGAAGAATGACCACACATGATTGGTAACTGTTGGCTGTCTATGAACTTACTGTTAGCCTCTTGACCACATGATAGCCATTATCCAGGAAATAGATAAAACCAACATAAGGAAAAGTTATCATTTTATTTCATTGACAAAATGTGTACACGTTTAGGTGTATTGTTGACAGCTCTAGGCCTGTCTGTGTGCACACGCTGAATTCGTTTACCTTGATTCTCAGTAACAGGATTGTCATTCAGAGATGTCGACTAGCTCTCTTAATTGATAGTGACTCCTGTCACTGCAGACTCATTCAAATGAGCGACAGGAGATGCTAATATTCCCCTGTTTGCATTGTTATCACTGCAGTATTCTTTCCCCAAACTCCAAAAGCCTTTGAAATGTTTGCATCTAACGGTAATACAGTGAGGACATTATGGCAGGTATTACAATGATGTTTCTGCAGTACCTCAGTGCTTAACCCTTTCTCCTTTGACGAGCGGAGCAGAAGAAACATGTACAGACTCCCCGTTGACTCTTTGCAAGTGGGTGGCAGGTGGCAACTGGGACCTTTCCTGGCAATTCCTTCTGTGGGTGGTCCCAGTGTCCAGGGCTCTTCTGGACAGAGGTCATGTTGCAGCTGTAACAGAAAGTTTTATGCTCCATTATGAAATAATTAAAGAGGCTTCTTGTTATTATATGTATAAATGATTTGCTGTATAGTTAGAGGCTATGAACCAACCAGTGAAGCAAACCCCAAACCTATTGCCATTGAGCAAATATTTATGGTGAACCAGCACCGAGTAGAATTGCCCTCTGGTTTTTTTTTTTTTTTGTAAACTTTACAGAAGCAGATTGTCAGATCTTTCTTCCACTGAGTGGACTTGAACTATCAGCCTTGGAGTATTTGTTAGGTGTCATCACATGGGCAATAGCTCATAGGAACTGTGTGCATGACAGATATGAACTGTGCCCTGTCCCGTGTGTCATGCTCACCGTTCCTGACACACTCAAATCCGTCGTGGTAGTCACTGTGTCAGCCCAGCTAGTTGAGGGTCTTCTTCTCTTTCACTGACTCTTGACCTGCCCACCGTGATGTCTCTGTCTCTCTCAGGACTTGTCCCGCCCTGAGAACGTGCACAGAATCAGTGAAAAGAAGGTGCCCCATCCTTGGGTCATTCGTCGATGAGCGCAGACTGTTGGCATGAGCTGTGGATAGAAGTGGCCAGACTGCATCCTTACAGTTGCTAATTGTCTTCGGCCCAGAGATAGTTTGAAGCTTTCTTTTCGCAGGTATTGATAAGTCAGCTCAACTCAGTGTCATTGCATCTGCACCAAATGAGAGCCGGCCCTCCTCCAGCAGTTTTAGGACTGTAAATGACACAGGAGGAGACTGACCAACTTCTCCTGCGGAACAGCGAGTGGTTTTTCATCACAGGCCTCTGTGCTGGCAGTGTAATTCCACTAGGCCACTAGAGCACGTGATGGCCGTAAATAATGGCCAGAATGTCATTTAACTTGACGTTGTGGAGGCGGATACAGTTCTCATGTGCCCTTAGACTGCTGTGTGACTCCCACTCAATTCCTAGGTCTTGATTTTCTCATCTTTTGAACTGGGCATGGTGCCTACCTTCCCTTCAAAGTCTTCATCGAAGGGCCTTCGATAAGGGCCAGATGAGAAACTGAGCGGTCATTTTCTGTGGGAAACATAAATAGGATCTAAACTCAATTAGTACAACTATTGTAAGCTTAGTTTTATGGAAAACCATGGTAGAAAAGGGACATCATAATACTTACTTATATTGCTATCTATCTTTCAGAAACCCAGTTCAAAATCAGCAGCACCCTTATAAAGTTTCAAAAAGAAAAACCGGTGGTATTTGGGATTTCCTTTCTTTTTGACAATTACTAAGTTATTTGACAATAAAATTGTTTTTCAGAATAGCATAATAAACAGGAATCCTTCACCAGGAGAGTTAGTGTGTCCAAGAGCCCTTTCGTCTGGATGACAAGGACAGAAGTAGACAGTAGACAGTGCCGTTTATTGCAGAATTACAACTGTAGAGGGGCCAGAGGGCCAAGAGTGATGGCGGAAGTTAGAAACTTACTGTAGAGTTACCGGAGTTGACATTGTGAGCTGAGGGCTGCTGCTGGTGTTAGACGCTATCACGTAAACTCACACTCATAGCAAGGCTGTGAGTGATGAACTTGAACCTTGTCCTGTCCCACACCATCTTCATGATCAACCACACGCTCAAGCCTATTGTTATGACCACTGGGTCAATCCATCCTGTTGAGAGCCTTGATTACACTTCCTCAGGTTATCAGGCTTATTTGTTTTGTTGTTTTGGCATAAACAGTACTCTTCTCCAACACAAAGGCATCACGATTCAAAGGCAGCAGTTCTTCTTCTCTCTTCCATATTCATTGTCCAATAAACCATGGGATGTTGACACTAGGAACCAGAAGGTCACATGTAAGCCGTGCATGCACATCTTTAGACATCTCATCAACCCAAGATTCATAAATCAGTAGCACAAGATGTCACATCTCTCACATCACTTGGAAATACCAGTTTATTTTTCTTTTTTCTTTTAAAAGGTAGTTTAATGTAGTTGTCAATATACACCTTGGTGAATTGAGGTAAAAGTAGGCCCATCCAGGGCAGAATAATTAAAAGGCTGCCATTCAGTTAGAGTTTGGTGGAGACAAAGGTCCCAGAGATTGGTCTGCCAGCAAACTCTGAGCAGGGAATCCCAGGCGAGTCACTCTTCTTCCGGTCTGAAGTGATGGACACTGACAGCTCAGTTGATCTTAACAACTGCTAGCGTGCTGCACATGAAGTTGCCTAGAAAAGCTCGGAACATGGGACAAACAACATTTTTTGATATTTCTAAGACTCCTAGGCATCTCCTAGCTCATTCTTTTTTCACCCAAAGAATTCTTTTTGTTAGCTTGTTGATTGGAGTATAACATGCATGCAGTAACCAACATAGGTCTTAACTGATCACAAGTTCATTAATTTTTATCATCTTAATATATGACAGTCCTTCCTGCTGTACCTTAAGTATTTGCTTATTGTTGCTTCCTCCCTGTTGGCCTAGTGGCAAGAAGCTACGCTGCAATCCTAAAGGCACATAGCTTGAGGCCCCCGGCTACTCCATGGGAGTAAGAGTAGCATTCTCCTCCTGTGTGATTAACTGCTTCTGAAAACCCGCCAGAGGGTCAGCTGTGGGTTGGTTCTAATTGGATGGTACACAACAACGTCAACAACAGGCTAATATCAATATCACTCTAAAGCCAGACAAAACCGCAAAGCCAAAAGTAACTCCAAGTCATTGCTGACTGGTCAGAATTGACTTGCGGCTAATCCTCTTCCCTCCGACTCCCACCACCCCCCCGGCCCGAGGCTTTAAATCACACGGGAGGAGATTGTCCATCTTTCTCGCTTGGAACGGGTGGATTTGAACCACCCGAGGAGCATGGCCAGTGCTGCTTTTCTCATCAGAACACTCTGAGATCAGCACTAAGGCTGAAAAAAAATAGATTACTGAAACAAGAACCAGATCCACATCTCTCTCCAAGGGAGTGGGCAGTGCATTTTTAAATGCATCGAGACATATGAGCCTTTGGTTGTCTAAACACTGTTATTAAAGGACTGTGATAGGGGCTTATGTTAAGCATGCGTGTGTGGCATGAGAGGTGTGAGTGACCATGATGAGGCTATTTGACACAAGGAGCAGAGATCCAAAGAAGAAGGGAAAAACGTGGTACCTGGTTTTCAACCGGAATAAACCTCACAATCGAGGAATCGGGCTCCTGCCTGCCATGTTCCCCTGCAGGACACCTCTGCCTTTTTCTTTATGGCCTCTGTCTATTTCTTGTCACCAGCTCTCCTGTTCCTTACTCAAACCTTGGCCTAGTGGGTAAGGAGTGGGGCTGTCAACCCAAAGGCAGGTAGTTCGAATCCCCCAGCTGCTGTGCAGGAGAAAGACGGACATTCTCCTGTGTGATTTTTCAGTCTCTGAAGACCGCCTAGAGGGTTAGGTTCGAGCCAGGATGAGCTGTTGTTGGAATTGAACAGCTTTGTAAGAGGAGACCCAGGGCATAGCGTGCAGCTTGCTGGACTGCTGTAAGAAGGGAGGATAGCTCGAATCCACCGGCTGCTCTTTGGAAGAAGAACGAGCAGTCTCCTTCCATAATGATTTACAGAGTGAACAACTCGATGAGAGTTTACTAGGAGTCAGAATTGGCTGGATTCGACGGGACTCCAGTGGGTAAGGTGATAGGTGAGTGGCTTTCACGTGGGTTCAGGTTGCCTTGACTCACTCTCTTCACAACAGACTCTCTTTTAGTTTTGACTCCTCATAATAATAGATTGGGATTCTCTGGCTGGGGCCAATGGTTAACATATTCTGGCTAACTGAAAGGTTGGCAGTTTGAGTACTGCCAGAGAAACTTCAGAAGAAAGGCTTAGTGTTTTGTTTGTGATTTTTTTTTTAAAGTTCTTATTCTTTGCTACAGAATGGGAACTGACCCGTGACCTTCATAGCTGACCCTCCAGCTCGTGGTTTTCAGAGGCAGTAAATCACACCCAAGGAGATTGCCCATTGCTCTCCCATAGAGTAGCAACTAGTGGATTTGAACCACGTACCTTCCGGTTGATAATGCAACTCCTTACCGACTAGACCACCACAGCTCAGCCTCTCAAAATTATGTGGAGTCCAGTTCTGCTTGGACACACATGGGTTAGTATGAATTGGAATCCTTATGGGAGCTTTCTAAAAAAATAATAAACCCAGTTTTTCATATCTTTCAGTCCAGGTTCAGAGAGCAAAAACAGTATCTTATATAAATGGATGGACAGCCCCCCTGACTTACTGTCTTTGGTTTGGAAGTTTGCTTTTGGCCCCATGAGCTATGGACAGATGGTGGGTGAGGAAGATGCTTGTCTAACAAAGAATGGCGACCTTTGTCGGACTCTGGATCTGTGACCACATGCTAGGCAGTGCCCCCTCGAAGACACAGGAAGTCAACACCTTATAATGTAGAAGATTGTCTCAAGGTGTCCCCGGGTGGTCCCTGTGGAAACTTGGAATTGGACAAGAGAAGGAAAGGGGGGGAAAATCTGTAAAATAGATTAAATTCCTCACTCCTGTCTGAAAGTTGGATGATGAATAAGGATGAATGAAGAAGAGTCAGTACCTTTGAATTATGATGCTGACAAAGAAGACTGAGAAAGAAGGGATAAATAATGTGCACGGCATTGAAACAGATGAGGGAGAGAACTGTGTAAAAGGGATATGTGATCAGATATTATTGTTATGACAGGAGTCCAGAACGAAGGCTGCATAGTGGAGTGAACTTGCGGGGAGGGATTGAATAACGATGAAATAATTTTTTCTTTTACTTTTCAAAAAGAAAAGCAAATTGGGGGTGGAGTGGTTGGGCAGGGAGAAAAGTGCAACAATGAGTTAATGGAAATCCAAAGTCTCTGTAAATGTTAATTAAAATAAATGTAAAATTAAAAAAAGAATATCAAATATCTCATGAATTGCTAGTAGAATGAACTAGTCTGCCTTTTTAAAGAAGTAATTTCTTTTTTTCCATTGTTGCACGTTTTCTTTCCCCTGTGTCTCCCCTCCCCAAACCTTCCCCGCGGTGCCCTGTTTTTCCCAGATTGTTGTCATACATTTAAGGCCTAATCATAGATTTCTTTCAGTCAGTTCTTCCCCATCATCTGTTCTAATGCAGTGTTGATTATCTGTCCACTCTTTTGTCATTCTCTTCTCAACACTCCCCCATGTCTGTCCTGTTTTACCAATGGTATTATGCACTGTTTGTCCTTTTGTGACTGAGATATTTCACTCAGCATAATGTCCTCAAGGCTCCCCTTGATGTATAATGTTTTACAAGTTAATTTACAAGTTTTTCCCGTGTTGTGTAATACTCCACTGTGAGACTGTACCATCGTTTTTCTATCTACTCATTTGTTGATGGGCACTTGGGTTGCTGCCATCCCTTTGCTGTTGTGAATAGTGCAGCAGTAAACATGGGTGTGTGCATACCTGTGTTTGAGTCGTGGCTGTGATTTCTTTGGGTGTATTTCCAGGAGTGGAATTGCTCAGTCAAATGATATTTCTGTTTCTAACATTTTGAGAAAGCACCAGACCGCCTTCCATAAGAGTGACTGGCCCATTTTACATACCCACCAGCAGTGAGTAAGAGTTCCACTCTCTCCACACCCTTGCCAGCATTTGTTGTCTGCAAACAGTCTGTCTTGGAGGAAGCAAGGCCAGGTTGCTCGTCTGAGGCCAGGATGGGGAACTTCATTTTACATAGTGTAAGTGTGTTGTTAGGAGGGAAAAAGATATCACTCTGGGAAAGGTGGAGGGTCAGAGAAAGGGAGGAGGAAGACCCTCAACCAGACAGACAGATAGTGACTGTAACAATGGGCTCAAGTATATCAGAGATGGCGAGGATGGTAAATGAGGGGACGGGGTTCAGATGTGTTCTTCCCAGGGCTGCTTTGGTGGTAGTCGACTTGACAGCATCTAACAGTAACATTCTTTGGGTAACAGAAATTGTCCGATGATGAAAAATCATAAACTGCATATAAGTCAGTGAAAAGGTTTACAGCTAGGATATGGCCCACTTG